CATTCCGTTTATCCATTACATGAGAAAAATTTTACCTTTCCAAGAGATATTGATAGCCTTTCTGTGATTGTTTGATTGCAGATATTGATTTTGCTGATAGAGATAGTCGAGCTGTTATAAAGGGTCTATATTTTTTAAGTCACCAGTTACATCAAGATAGGTGATGCCAGTTTAATCATGCAGCTATATCACCATCCATATTCTTTGGATAGTCAAAAGGTCAGGCTTGCTTTGGAGGAGAAAGGCATTGATTACACCTCATACCATGTCAATCCTATTACAGGCAAGAACATGGACTCTTCCTTCTTTAGGATGAATCCCAGTGCAAAACTTCCTGTTTTCCAGAATGGTTCCCACATCATTTTCGACACAATTGAGACAATCCAGTATGTTCCATTCTTAGTACACTCATTTCTATTTCATTGTAAAATTATAAGCTGCACTGGTACACAATTTGAAACTTAAAATTATGATAACCACTAGAATGATCTGTTATGGTTTTTCTTTATGAAAGAGGAAACCAAATACAGAGGCAGAAAGTAGCTTCTCTACATAGTTTTCTTGTAAACCTTCTTTTTTTCTTTTTTTCTTTTTTTGGCCTTCAACAGTGATATATATTAAAAATATGAAACAAGTTTTCTTTAAGCATTGAAATCCTCATAAAGTAAATTAGAAGACACTATTTAAAGTTATTTATGAATTTAATGTGGTATATAAACTTGTAGGTACATTGAAAGAATCGCAGTTTTTTCTTCCGGCAATGGGATTGGTGATATTGGATGCAGCAGCGGAGAAGTGCTTGAGTGGATGCGCAAGATACAAGAATGGAACCCCAAGTATTTCACACTTGCACATGTACCTGACAAATACCGTATATATGTATCTAAATTTGTAAGACAGGTGCTGATTGCTCGGATGGCTGAATCTCCTGCTCTGGCAAGTGCTTACCACTGTAAGCTCAGAGAAGCATATGATACAGAGCACAAGTTGAAAGATCCTGAAGTTCTGAGAAGGAGCAAGGAACATTTGGTTGGACTTCTGGATGAGGTTGAAGCACAACTGAATGAAACAACATATGTAGCAGGAGAAGAGTTCACCATGGCAGATGTTGTGCTTATCCCGGTGCTTGCTCGGTTAGTGCTGCTGAATCTGAAAGATGAATACATAAATTGCAGGCCTAACATTGCAGAGTATTGGGCTATGGTGCAGCAGAGGGCTAGCTACAAAAGGGTGATTGGGAGGTATTTTAATGGCTGGAGGAAGTACAAAACTCTAATAAAAACCTGGTTCTTTGTTCAAATAAGGACTCTGTTGAAAAGATATTGATGAGAAGACTGAACAAGGGATGTTGTAAATGGAGGATATATACACAAAATCAGGTTTCTAATTTTTCTTTTCTTCTTCTTCTTTTTTTTTTTTTTTTTCTCTTAGAAAAAAAAGCGCTCAACTGTTGTATTTTTTTCCCTCATTTCATTACTTTTGCATTCTTGTCTTCTGGGAATTATGTAGACATATTTGTGATAAAAAATTTGCCATGTGGAGCAAAATCAAACTTTGAGAAAAAGGCTGCCCTTGTAAGTCCTGTATGCTTCATTTATCAACTGTCTTCCTTTTGTAAACCGTGTTTCAGACTTCATGAGAGAGGTGTAACTTTCCCTAAAAAATGACAATAAACTGAGAAAGCAAAAGGTGATGTCTTCATTGGTAAGAAACTGAGATGTATGAATGAATTTTTGGAATTGAATGAAATTGCAATTTTCCACTGGAATTTTAACCCAGGAAACAATGAATTGATGAGAGTACATGTAAAAAAAAAAGGACTCAGTAGCTCTCACAAATTTTCCTATAAATCAATGCTGATTTCGATCCTGTGGCTGCTGATAATTATCATTGTGGCCTTTCCCAACCCTACAGCTTACATCATGAGAAAAATATGAATTTCTGGCCTCACTTTTTACATTCCCTACCTCTACGCAGCATGGACTACCCATATGGTTGTTTCCCATGAATTAGCACTTAAGCCAAGGAGGCCCTTTTCTTTTCTGCTGCCTGAAGTACTTCTTTCCCAGATCATACGAGGAATCCCTTGCTCGTTTATATGTCTGTTGGGTATTGGCAACTGGGATGTTTGATTCTGGTTGTTTATAACCAGTCGGGGTTGCATTGTTTGCATCCGGATATGTGGCAGGACCACAGTCATCCTGCTGCCCATCTCCCATAGCTTCACCCTTTCTAATGGAATTACCAGCACAAGCAGCTGGAACCTCTTTCTTATTGCGGGGAAATGGAGGTAAAGGTGGGAACGGATGGAAAGGCATACCTGGGGCAATAACCCAGCTCTCCACACTTTCTGCCTGGGGTGATCCAAATTGCTGCATGATAGGCAATGGGAATCCATATGAGACAGGCAAGCGAAAATTGAACCTCTTCTGTGGATGTGCAATAAAGACATTGGAAGGATACTTCAAATGGCAAAAACTTGGATGGGAGATATCAGTAGAAGCAGGTGAAGCATGTGATGAAACCAAAGATGAAGGCTGAGAAGATGAGAACCCAGGTGGAACATCCTCATTAACAGTCTGCTTTGCACTGTCAGCATTAATAACTTCATCTTGTTGAGAGTGATTGAGACTCTGACAGTCACGATCTGTTATCTCACCTAAAACAGGAAATGGGCTAGATCCAAGTTTCTTTTCCAACTCAGATTCAACTTTCTGTTCTTCCTGCTTAAGGGATCCTGAATCTGGGTCTGCTGGCTGATCCCAGCGGCTTTTACGCTTGCGAATTCTGGTACCATTGGTCTGGCTAACACCTGAAGTAGATGGAGAGCCCTCATGCACAGAAGTGCCTGAAGTTGTTGCAGGCAATGATTGGGTGTCAGTTGTTTCAGTAGGTCTGACACCCTGGCTAGGCCACTGGTTTTGTGATGCTGAAACCTTGTGGCAGTTCAAACCCCAGTGATGATCCGTCCTGCACTCATCCCTGTCCTTGTAGCCTGGTTTTCTAACAGGCTTAGGAATCCATTTATCTCGAAAACTTCTTGCAATTTGATGGACCTGTATATGCATGCTAAACTAATTAAAACTCAAATAGTGACCCAAGAGACACCCAATTAAAAAATAAAGCAAATCCTATCCATTAGGTTCCAAGCAGCAAGTGGCAGTGCTCAGGATTTAGTAGAGCAGATAAACAAAAATAGAAATAAAATAATAATAAAAAAAGATTAAATGAAATTCTTCACCACAGCATAAAAAACCTAGTTTGAAACAGTACCTGTTTGTCATCATGCTCTGTCAATGACAGCATTGACTCCCTGAAGCTGCATTACAAAAATGATTTTCAATTAATGAATACCAGTTTTGTTGTTCCTCATGAAGGAAAAGAAGATGCCTTTCTTGAAAAAACTGACATAAAACTGGCATTCATCCATTTAATCAGATATTTTCTCTAACCTTTCCATTCCATGACAGGGGGGCCCTCCATTTATGTGATCCAGAGTAAGTATCTCCCTCACTGCCAAATATTCTAAAATCTGCATAAAGGGTCAGTTTGCAGCAAGCTTTAGTCCACCATGTACCTCAAAAATAGTTTTTTCTTATTCATAATCTAGTTTAACATTAACATAATTTAAGTGTGATATAGATAAAATTCCAAGTCCAATTACCAACTTAATTATAATGATGGACCAGCCCTGATGGCAACCTATCCCCAACTTTAAAAAAAAAATGGTTTCTACTCAGACAGACCATTCCAAACATTTTCTAGTATTCAAGATACTAAGTGATCAACTTAGAAGATTCATAAGAACAAAAAAAGAGTGATCAGCTTAGAAAGTATGCATGCAAACACTTACATGTTTAGATACAGGGACACATAAATATATATATCATTAAGTTGTATAATTGGGTGAATTTTATAATATGAAAAACAACTCCTAGTGGTGCTCCATTACCTCAAATTTACAGCAGGCTGTTAGCTATGAAATTTAAACTGACTAGATAAGTAACTTTTCTACATCACAATGATGCAGCACACAGGGGGGGGGGGGGGGGGGGAGGAATCTCCAAGAACAGTGGCTTTTAGAATGTCATAAGTCGATGCTCAAAATTTAAAAGATGCTCTAACTGTACTACCACTTTGTATTATCACACTTGTGCAACTACTTATTCTAAAGCATTTGCTTTTGAAAAGTGCAGCTGGAAAACTTGTCACTCATCACAATTCACAAGTAGAATGAAGACCTTCACAATTAAAATGCATCTGATTTATATCCTATTATTCAAATAACACTGTTTAAAGAAAAGTAATAAAACACTTTTGTCTGTAATGCAAATGGATGTTATGTATCAAGTTTCTCCACTGACATGGGGGAATGAAAGAGTGTCTTTTTCATATCTGTTTTTGGTTCAGATATGCAACGGATCATATTATTACATATGTGATTAATAAATAAACAGAATTTTCTATAACCATTACTTGTGAGTGTATGTAAATTTACAGTTTAGGAATTCTGATTAAAAATAAACAGCATATCAAATTAGGATGCAAAGGAATTCCAAGTAGTGCACCTTTAGAAGTTTCCGGAGAATTGGAATCTTTTTAAAGTCCCCTCTGTATTGCTTCATGATGTTGTGCAGCATCCGCAACCCTGGAAAGCAAACAGTCATTCATAATGCCGGAACACCCAGTAAAATGATGACCTGATAAAATAACTAAAACAAAAATTTTAAAGGAAAAGTAGAAGGATCAAGAAAACACTACCATTCTTGTTAATTATGTCATTCAATACAGTTCGTGATTTTGTCTTCAAAAGTGCATCAAGAATCATTGATAGTTCTCGATTGCTGAAGAAACAAGCAATCTAGAATCAGAGATTAACAAACAAAATGTCTGCATAATAAGTAACCTATGAAGTGTTGAGATTACACATAAGGCATCAAAATGAAATGAATCTAAAATGACCTTTGAATTGCTTCACCATTAGTGCTATCACCAGAAGCTGCTGTGAGAAGCAGAAGCTTCAAATAGCCCTTAGCTGCATCCTGTTAGAATAGAAGATACTTAGAAAAATGAGAAGCTTTACAAACTACAACATGTTTAAAGATGAGAAGGCCAAAATTGCAATATTTCCTCCGTTAGTCTGATGATAGAAAAACACCAAAATCAAAAACTGGAGATTGATGGCACTAAAGTACTTACTCTCCTTCTGCTTACACCCCCATCAGCATCCAGCAACTCATTAAGCTTCTCCTCAACTAAAAGCATTAGAAAACCATTATTATCATGATAATAAACGCATCTACCAACAGTCCCATTGTCAAGATAATAGAGGATGACTAACCTGCTTCAAAACGACCATTACTAGAACCTTCCACTGATTTTCTAGGTTTGATTGTCGCCACTTGATATTGATTGGCTGTATGCTGAACTTTGTTTCCTGTCAGAGAATCGCTGCCTTTTCCTTTCTTAACAGAGTTAGATGAACGAGAAATCTTCATAACCACTGGCGTTTTTGAAGAACCCTGTCTGTCTTCTTCTTTATCATACTTGGACCTTTTACTAGCATCAGTACTAACAGATGGCAGTTTGCCAACTGTCATAGTTAGAGAAGTTGGATCTAATTTTTTAAAGGAAAATGAGCTTTTGCTCATAGCCTTCTGTTTTACGGCATCACCATGCTGAACAGAAGACATGGGTTCACTTGTTACATCTTCTGTTTTTTGTGAAACTTCAACTTGTTGTGCAGATGACTGGAAATTTCCTTTAAAATCCTCAGTATGAGCTGAACTGTGCAGTTGGATGGTGGAGGATGCAGAATGGTTAGTGGAGTTCTCAGTTTCCATGGTAGTCTCCAACTGACCAACAACCATGGTAGAATTAACCTTTTTCTCTTGTTCTTTTATTACACTCTTTGCATTTCGCATTTCTTCATTGTTAAAGGAACTTGATCTAGATATGGCATATTCCAAGCCATCCCAGGTTTCACCATCCTTAAGCATCACAGGTTCAGGATATTCTTCATCTGAATCATCTTCAACAATTACTTCAGCATTCAGTGGATCCCCTCCTATATAACCCCGACAATGAGGTGATTGACAGTGACATTTTTTAGCAGCTGCCCCAAAAACCCTCACATAGTTGTAATCGAATGTCACCTCTTCTCCCTAACAAAAGTTTCAACCTTATTGACTACAAGATGACAATTTATTTATGCATGTAACAGACTGAAAATGACAAAGACGTTAGAAAGCAAGAAGTAAGCTTTTGAGGTGAAGGTTTATTACAGCACTAGAACCTTCAAAACCTTTCTTTGTTGACATTATGATTAATCCATTACAACTTCATGAAAGTTCATAAAAATATTCATGGATGCTCTCCAATTTATAGATATCAACTGACCATAAAGTGATAAACTTACGAAGTGGAAAAATGGAGATCTGTTCTCTTCTAAAAGGAAACCAAACAGATCACTTCTAGTGGACTGGCATACATATTATATACTTCTGTATACAGTTTTTGTTGTTTAGTACAAGAGTGGATGATTGCCTGTCAACCAATCATCTAGTTTAATGATTTTTGAGTAGCAAGCTCAAAGCCAAATCCATTAAGGAAAAGGCCCAACAAATCATTTATAGAGAGAATGTTTGAGCATACCTGCTTAATATCCCTCAATGCAAACAATCCGATACAAATTTCTCCATTCACCATCCACTGTTCCACAAAGAAGATACGAAATTTCTTGAAATTAGAACTCGAGTAATACAATAAAGAGCTAAATTATAGATGGAAACACACCAAACAACAAATAAAGTAAAGTGAGATTAACTGATTAAGAAGTATATTCCAGAAAAGTAAAGAAGATATATCCTCTAGTCAGGAACGTGAAAAATGTGCTGCCAACCAAATAGAACAAATGAATGTGAACTACTACAGGTAATATTAGATGTAGAGCAGGACAGGAAGATTAGAAGCAATATAATGGTATCTCTGAAAAATTTTGCAAAGGTCCATTGTCCACAACCCCTCACCCTCACCCCACACAAGCAGATCTGATAAATTGCAACCTAAGTAAATTATAACAATTTCAACCATAGTCCATAGAGCCTATTCTTTCAATTCTTAATTTCTTATTTTGTTTTTATTTTTTGAATAAAGGGTTTATTTATCATTATATCTAAATGGGAAGCAGGCAGAAAGACAAAAAGGCATGAGGAGGCATCCAACAGAATGGCTAAATTTCAGACATTGAACTCAATATTACAAGCTTATCATGATTTTACCATTATCCTATGATAAATAAGAAGGCTCTTATGAACAATCACCTTCTCTGTTCGGCAATTAGGATCACAACTATGGTTGATGAAACGGCCCAAATTTCCTTTTGCACATGCATCTATTACCTGGAGGTTGGAAATGTATAAATAAATATCTAAAATGAAGCATCACAGTATGAAAATAAGTATAGAAAAATAATAATAGTATGGGGAGCATAAAGTTAGCAATTAGTATTAAAGGAAAAATTCCTACAACAGTGGGAGGGAGAGAGCTAAGTCTAAGAGACAATCAAGGGGAGTTGCTTAGCTTCAACTCAAACAGACTTGCAAGTATAAAGAGAACTGTAAATACAATCCATCTAAATCAAACCCTGGCAAAGAAATTGCAAGCTTTCACCCCTGTTTAAAATTTAACTAGATTAAACGAAGAATCATACAGTATTCTGGGGGAAAAGATCCTAACCATACATTCAAACATATCTAAATTTATTAGAAAATATTTTCTAGTAACATATGGATTAAAAAAAGTTGGTTCCAAAGTAACATTATGTCTTTCAGCACCATCAAATGCAATGCAACACCCACATAACTATTAGTTAAATTTCTTATTTTAAAAAAGCTACATAAAATCAACAAGTAACAATACGTGGGGCATATACAAACCTCACTGCCATTTAATGTCATGAAGTAGAAATGCCTTTGACCCATACAAGCATATTCTTTCTGCCGTTTCTCATAAGCTTGCATATCCAGCACCTGATGGAATACAAAGTTAGAATGCTGCCAAAGCTTATATATGCATGGAACTTAATATATTCATTCAACATCGAAGTTAACCAGGAAGCCACAATTTGCTCAGACAACTGTAGGATAATTTGTCCTCATTCTTCATTGAACAGCATACCTATATGGCATGATATCAGTGCAGGCAAAATATGGAAATATGTATGTTCATGGATCTGATAGCAACCAACATCCAACCAGTGTGAACTGTGTGAATTGCAGCCATTGAAACATAAAATTTGAAAGCGAGATGCTAGAAGGATGTCAAGTTTATTTTATCCTTCCTAAAAGAAGTAATAACAAGAAATCCACCATTACAACTAATTTATGTAATGCGTGATGAGTCAACCCACCCATCATAGCAACAAAACAAGAAAAAAAGCATGCCTCTTTATCCATTTATTTGAAAACTCATTAGGTGTTTAATGATACAGTTCAATAAGAGATGGAAGCTCCAGCAGTAATATTCTTCTTAGAAGGGAAAGGAGGGGTAAGGGGTTAACAGAGAAGAAGATGATTAAGTTTAAGGGTCAAAGATTAAAAGAATTAAAAGATTAAAATTTAGCAATAATTGGAATTCTACCTTTACCGCACTACTTTATCTCAAGGGTACCATTTGCTTACGCAAAAGGCAGAAACCCAGCACAAACATAATTTAAAGATTGATTAAAAACCCAAAACCTTATTTCTTCATTTTTTTTTCCAAATAAGGAAATTGTTACAATGGGGGTGAGGGAATAGTATTGCTTGGGTTTGAACCCATGACTTGAAGGTCACCAAACCTTAAGCTTAGGACATGAACCATTGGGCCACAGGCTTGTTCATAAGCCCAAAAATTCCATTCCTTCTGATAATAACTATCTTTGAGTAACCAAACATAAGAATTTATTAAGATAACTATTAGGTTACCTCTCCAACATACTCAATTAGGAAATGTCCAGCTGATATATCCTCAAGCATCTTCAGCCCATAACCTTTCTTTCCACATCTAGACCACTGCATTTGGGCATATTTGCGCTTCTGGAACTGCAAAATAAACATTTGGAATAAAATACTGTTCTTTACTGAAATTTAAAGAAATTTCATTCCATAGAAATTATATCGTATTATTAGTTGCTAGAAATAGCAGCAATACCTGTTGATTTGAACAGAGGTCACCACACGGGCAGGTACCTTGAACGCATTCGATGTTCAGCATCCGGTTCAGGCATTCATCTCTACAACCAAGCTGACCATCCGGAGATGGCTTGCAATGGCAAACCATTACCTGCTTTATTTTTTTACGAAGTTAAATGTGACAGTAAAATTAACCTCTATAATTACAAATTTGTAAATCTAAGCAAATGGAGACATATGACTTTAGAGAAGTTATAAAGGTTTGTCAATGAAGATGTTGGCTATCAAAATGGATGACGTCTCTGCATTTTACCTAAGAATGGGAGGTTAATAAATGGTTTGACTTTACTATTGGACAAAAACAGTTTAAATGGAGTCAACTTATAAAGAGAGACTTTAATGTTAAACTAATAGTGTATCCATTATCTTTAACTAAAAAATATTCAAAAATGAGGATGGTAATAGAAATTGGCCTGTTGGTCATGGTATTATTTTCTCTAAAATGGAAAAAAGTAAATTCCCAATTCCAATAACACAAGATAAAAGCTTGTCAGAAGTCAACCTATGAAAGAGGTGAAATCTATATCATATTAGAACCATGAAAATCCCCTGACCCATAGCATGAATACAGTTTATGCCAAAAGACTTTCAGATAACGAACAGCCCCAACTCATTGTGAACAGAACTAATTCCTGTCATAATCCAGCCACAAAGCCATGACCATCCAGTAACTTTTGCAACATTGTAAATGGTTATTCATTTTTTTTAACAATATTTTGAGACATTTAAATTTTGTGCCATTTGACAATAAAATAAAATGCATGTTCACATATGCACTAAACAAAGAATGGCCAGCAATAAATTGCATAACGATGATATTTGCATGACAAAATGAAAAATCAGGTCAGGACCTCATCAATTGTTTGAGTTTTATGCCTGCGATGTAGAAACTCATTACCATTGATGCACCGGAAAACTGATGCTTCCCGAACTGCAACAATTTAAAAGTGTATCAGAACCTGGAAAACTAGAAAACAAAATGAGTGGAGGAAGAAGGATATATTACTGTCCTACAGCAGGGGTCCATAACTCGGGTTCCAACTTTATCTCAAAGTTTGGTATCACTAGAGGAAACATAATACCTGCTATATTTCTGTATTCAAGTCTCTTATAGTTTAAATGACCATCATCTTCGTCAGGATCTGATAACCCCAACTCTGCATTAATATCTGCATTAGACTTCTCTTGGGGGATTGAGCAATCAGCAAAGGCTTTATCCATGTTGTCCGTACAGATCCTTCAATTAATACAAAATGGACACCAGTTAAGAAATTAGACTGTCTTTCCAAACAACTAGAATCATAAGCCATAAACATCATGCCATGGCTGGGTCTAAACCCTAAGATGAAAAAAAAAAAAAAAAACCTAACAAGCTTCTTCAACAACATGAAATCGAGAAATGGCATAACACATGGTGCACAAACATAGAGATGAGAGCATACCATTGGCATGATCCATTAAGTTTATCTGCAAGTTCAACAGATATGCGCCGCCATTTATAACAATCATCACAGCGCACCCAAGCACTATCAGGCAGAACCCACTGCTCCATTGCACCATCTGATACCACATTAGCATTAGCTTCAACTGCAGATTCAATGTCTTTGCCAGTGTTCCCAACATCATCTACCTCACCATTTCCTATAGCATCAATTCATATGAGATTAAAAGAGAAGGGAGGAGGGGGAAAGGAACTGAAAAAGTTGAACAAGAAAGAGCTGTGCATATTGTATTTGGAAAAGATCCACTACCAAATTCTGCAAGACTCTCCAATTTGGGCTCAATCCTATCAACAAGACCATTCACTACTTCACTCTTACAAGCAGACTTTTGTTGGTTCTCCCTCCGTCTTAAAGCATCTCCTTTCTTGCTTCTTGCTGAATCAGAGACCTCAGACCTTCCATTGCCTGTTTTACAATATTTTGAACCTTTGAGAAGTTGGTGCCCCTTGTTGCTTGGAGGAATTAAATTCTTGGAACACTGTGTTTCTGAAACATCAAGGCTGCTGGATGATTTAGCCTCTGCACCACTTTCAATTCCTGTAGCTTCTTCAAAGAATCTGATCTTGTTCTCGCTTGATGGATTTAACGGCTCAATGGAGAATTCCTTGGTGCTTGGAGAGACACTTGAAGCATCTACATTTGTGGATAAAGAAGGATTCTCGTTGAAGTAAAAGCCGTCACCAGTTTTCTGTTTGCCTCTGCTATTCTTTGATGACTTAGGCTTCATTATGCTGGCTGTCACAAGCGATCTATGATTAACTTTCTTTCCCCGCTTGCTACTCTTCCTTCTCTTAACATCTCCAAGTGAAGCAAAATCTTCAGAAGTAGTCGAAACAGAATTATGCAAGTCTTCCTGATGCAGCGCACCAACTTGGCTATCAGGAACTGGGTTGATAACTTCTGAATCTGGTGAAGTTCCAGGATCCATATAACTTTTCTCTGTTGCACCTCTAGATGTTTCAACCACTGTATTACATGGAATTCCAAGACAATGCTCAGTAGCATCTCCGGCAGACTTCTCCAAAATCTCAGTGCTCTCAAAATCCCTTTTTTCTACTTTTACATCCATAACAGAAGAATCCTGGCAAATTATCACCTTCTCTGGCTTTTTGTTGTACTGTAAGTGCTTTCCAGTCCTCTGTTCTCCCAAATTATCTCTGACACCATTGGCTAAGCTGAATTCCTGGCAAACCTCAGTCCCTTGATTGCAAAAAGAAGCATCAACAGAAGCTGATGCATCCACTACATCTGCAGTCATATTGTTCAGATAACTTTGACAAATGTCTTTGCCAATCTTAACCTTAAAGCATAGACAGCTAGTTGAAGGCAGAGCTTTCTTACTTGACTTTTTTCTACCTTTACTAGCTTGATTCTTAATACCTTTCCTACTTCCTTGGCCACCCTTAACTTTCAGTGATCCTTGATTCTGCACTTCATCAAACCCAGGCTTGTGGCACTGCTCAAGAAATGGTCCAACATTCCCCATTAGTCCCCAGATAGAAGAACGAGCTGGCTTGGAAGAGCAGCTTCTTTTCCTTCTTGACACCTTGGAGATAAAGCTGATACTTTCAGGTGGGTGGGGCTCCTTGCCAGTGTTGCTGCGGTTCCTTATCACCCTTTTTGACAGAGTCTTTTGGCCTGATTTACTTTTCCAGATGCCTCTTTGAGAAGATGATAATACAGGGGTAGGATATGTAGTTTCAAAAACATAATCAGCTCCAACAACATCCTTTCCTTCATTTCCTGTCTGACCAGAACAGTCAACTATACTGATTGAACCCAAAGCACCACAAGCATCGGACAGATCCAACCTCCTACAGGACTCATTTTTGGAATCGAAGGGCTGACACAACACAGAAATTGATTCATTACCAAGATAGTTTGTAACTAATTGACAGGAATCCTCCTGTGAATTGCGGGCATTATTCTCTACATGTAATATTTCTGGGCAACTTTCAACATTTATAACAGTTTTATCATCATTCCTGCCCTCAAAAAACTTCACAACACTATTTGTGGATAAACCATCAACAATCTTATCATCAGTTCCAACATTCTGCAGGATAATATTACTTAATGATTCAGCCATATTTGAGCTTTCCAAGACCCCCTCCTCGCAACCCCTTGAGGGCAATAACTGGACGCATACATCATCAGAACTCTTTGTTTCTACAGTTCTGGTAAAACCTTCAAGACAGAAACCCCTGCTACTCTGATCTTCCTTCTGATTGCTCTGCCATTCACAACCAAAATCACCTCTATGTGATAATATTTTTGGCATTGCAGTACAACGTGAAGCTGCTGTTGGGCTGCACGTATATGATTCTGCAACAAACGAATCATCAACTTTTCCACACACAGAGGGGCAAATAACACTCTTAGCATCCTTCAGCTCATCTTGATGGGCATTATTGCTCAAACAGCTGGTCATGGCTATCAATTCCGAAGGGAAACTACAGTCCTCCAAGGGAGACATTTGGTTGTAAAGTTTGACTTCAGTCCCAGCCAAAACCTCACACTTCTCTTCCATAAAACCTCTTGCAGGGGGGCAACTGATGCCCTTACCATCCTTCTGCTCTTCCAGTTTAGAACAAAGTGTCAACTCATCAGTCAAACTTATTAACTCGAAGGACACTTCACAACCCCATGAAGGCAATATTTGGTTGAGAATATCAGTCTCAGTCCTGGATTGAGTATTGTTTTTCTCTTCTGAACTATTTTCTACAGCCTCTGAGAACCCCAGCAAAGTGCAACTACCGACACACTTGCCCTCTTTATCTCTATCTCGTGCCATATAGTGGTTTGGTGAACCAGTCACTGGCATAACTTCTGATGGCTTCTCATACCCCTCTGACTGCAGTATTTGGCAACAAACATCATTTTCTATCTTTTTTAAAACATCTCTTTTCTCTTCCATAACCTTGACACAGAGAACACAGATACTCTTACCATTGTTTTGCAAGTTACAGACATCATTTTCATCCTTACTATCATTACAATGAAGAGCGCTGATACCCACAGCATTCTCAGCTTGAGACAAGCCTGGGGTCCTATCCTTAGAACTGATATTGCCTTGACCAGGAGGCCCCCCATTTTCTGAGCACAACTGATTACTTTCCAAGTTACAAATATCAATTCCATGTTGATCACATACGAATTTCTTCAACTTTGTCGCATCCACATTTTCATTGTTGACACTCATCTGAGCTGCATTTTCATCCTGAGAAAAACCCAAGCATGTATCGGGTGAACTGATACCCTCTGCATTACAACCCATCAAATTGCATTCCTCCCCGGAGCAAAAATGCTGCTTGGGCATAGCGCCTTCCATTGCCTCCGAAAAGGAAAGCCTCTCAGCATCAGCCCCAAGCAAAGGCTCAACCACCGAAGTCAAATTCTCACTCGAACCCATCAAAGTTCCCAACAAATTTGTATCAATCTAAGCCACACCCATTACTCAAAACACATAAAAGATCGAATCAGTAGCAAGAAATCAATAAAACGAATTATCCATCTAAGCCACCCAACACAATGCACCCCCGAAATACCACCAGCAATCAAACGCAAAGCAATGTTGTGCCGACAATACCATCCAATGAAACCAAAATAACAGAAAAGGAAAAAAAAAAAAAAACACCTGAGTGAAAGCAACCACTAAACCCTAGAGAATCCCTTTCTCTGCACAACCAAAAACCCTAATCTCAGAATTTGCAGAGTAATGCAGATATCACAACATATTCATATCCACTTGCAAACGCACTACGCAGAAATATCAACCCCAATACAAAAAAGGAAAAAAAATCGAAGAACACAAAAAAAAAGAAAGAAGAGAAAATCGGAGAAAATAAATACCTGTTGAGATAAGAGAGACCAGGCCGTTGAACAAGGGAGGAAGGAAGGAAAGGAAAGAAGAGATGTTAAATTGTTTTTATTTATTTATATTATTATATTATTGTTATTATTATCTGACAATTCCTCAGTTCGTAAAAAGAGAAAATAATATTTTAATAATAAAATTTTCTGTTTGGAGAGAGAAAATGAATTGCTTGGTGGTTCGGTGGTTACTGCACGAAAAGCGAAAAGGGAAAAGTCGTTTCAGGGTTCATTCGTAATCAATTCGTGTACTCGTAAAGGGTGTTTTCGTCTTTCTTAGATGGAATCATTGGGCCTTGGAGTTTGCGTTCAATTTTTATAATTGGAATAATTTTATGATTGAGTCCCTTAATTTACTTGTTTATTTCAATCAAGCTCATTAATTAAAATTTTGTACTAAATAAACCTTCCAAAGTTATTTTAGTATCCAATAAAATGAATAAATAAACAACCTAAAAACTGAGATCTTACAATTAAGGGTAGAGGAATGCTACAAAATGTAATTTTTTATTTTTTATTTTAAAAATAAATAATACTTTATACTAATAAACTGTATTTTACATTTTATTGAGTGCACTTAACATTCTTCTTAAAATTATTTGTTGTGTTAAACATTTGTGGATAAATTGTATTATATATTATGATTCAATGGTAAAACCACAAGTAACCCTTATAACATGTTGATAACAAAACTTAAGTTCATAAGTGCATAACCACCCAATATATGTATAAGGTCCGTGGCCTTATTAATTACAAACCTAAGGACGTGTGGTGTAAATGTAAAGATCATTTGCCAGAGAAAGGCATACATGTGCATATTTATCACATCCTCTTCTGTGAATTTGGTTGTATAGGCTGCACCCAAAAACCGAAAGGCACCTGTTCGTTGTAGTCTCCAGCTCTCTGGTATCCGTTGTCTATCTGGTCTCTTGCATTTTCCATGGCGAGCTCTTGCCGATGCTGCAAAACACAACAGGCATGTATTACACAAACAGTATAAATTAAGGAGACGACTAAAACAGATAACACATGATTTACAATATATCAAACACATTATTTATAACGTTGATGCTACTCAAATCTAACTCCCAAAAAAAAAAATCAATAGATAACTGTTTAACATATAAATCACTCATAAAACTGTAGTAACATAATTAGGATAAAAAAATTTAAAAAATGATTAATACACACTTCATAGCATAGGGAAAGTTTTAAATGCAAAATTTAATAATATTTGAAAATTATATTTTTTTAATAAGTATATTATGAAGTATGTTAAACTGAATGATATATTAACTATATATTGGCCAAAAATTTTATATGTTTGCATAGTTCTTCAAGATATATATGTGTGTGAGCTTTTTGGATGTTAGTTTCTTCATTTATTGAAATCTAACATATGAAAAATCGAATAAGGTCTTGCTTATAAACATAATTTGCAAACTCTTATGCATTCGCATATACACTACGTAATTAAGTACATATATATGCTTTGTTCAAGTGTATCTTAGAAACCTTAATTGCTAGTTAGCACCCCACATTACATATCTCTTTCATATGTAACGTAAACACAAATGTGCACACACACATATTTACAAAAATACACCCAAAGAGATCTAAAGAGAGTACCAGAATGATTTGTAGTTCCTTGTTCTCCTCCTTCAGTATTTTCCACTGAAGTGCTCAACCACAATTACAGAAAAGTCAAAGACAAATTAATAGCAAAATTTGACAAAAACTGAACAGCTAAAATTTTTTTAAACGTGATATAAATGTAAATTATGATAATTCTATAAATTAGAGCTAAAAAAAGAAACGAGTGTGTTATATTTTTGTGCATACATTTCTGCTAGTCATGTCAAGTAGGTCCATCTGTCAACAGAAAAATGTACTCAAAGTGAGATTGATTAATTGCATACCACATGATCTAGAAATCCAGTCAAAGGTACCAATTCAAAATGATTAATAATTTAGCAAAAGCCCTGCCTGTTTAGCACGAATACTAGCAAGGCCAATTTCCAAAGCCTCCTCTAGAGCCATCAGGTCTCTGTGTTGCAAAGACTGGATATCTTCCCCCTTCAAGTGCCTAAGATTATACATATGCTATTCAAATTAATTAATATTACACTTATAATGCAAAACAGAAAGAAAAAAAGAAAAAAAGAAACCTAGAGAAACCAAAAGGACTACCTGAGCTCAATCTGCATGCTGTCATTTTCCTTCTTGATTCTATCAATTTCATTGCTGAGGTTCTGTTGAGTTTTTGTTGTTAGTAAGGGGAAGAAAAAAAGATAAGAAAAGGAGAAAAATATATATATTAAAAAAAAACTTTTCAGCAAGTTAATGAAAAATAGACATTTTCTAAGCCTGATATGTTGATATTAAGCTATGATATCTGGATAAACCTCTGTTTTGACTCAAGAATGATGGAAACCCTAGAAGTACCACTATAAAGTAGGTGGATCCCATTACAGATCTCTGTTTGTATTCCTTAAAAGTTAAAACTAACTCCCATGTGTAGTTGTTTCAAAATTTTGAAGGGAAAAGGAAGAGGGAGAATAGCATGTTATCACGGGATCTGTTTCCAAGATGTTACATTTCATCTGGGTTTTGAATAAAAAATGTTCTAGAGAGAGAGAAAGATCAGAAGAAGGACTACCACAAGCAGATCCCATTTGTAGATCTATTCATAGAATCCATTGCTCATGTCTTTTAACATATATTTAGTAGAAAAACTAACGATCAAAAAAATATATATTTAGTAAAAAAACTAAAAAAGCTATCATTTTTACTTTTAGACATGCAAGAAACAATGTTAATTAGAGCATCATCTCTATGGATGTACAAAAGCAGAGAAAACAGAAAACCGACCTCATGTTTAGCATCCCACAACCTCTTCCCAGATGCCTTGTGATATTTTTCCAAAATATTAATCAAGCTTAATTCACCAAGATGAAGAAGAAACAGAAAAAGCCATCAACAAGAGGGTATTGCAGAGAAGACAAATAAGGAAAAAGAAGTGATGAAGTATGAACATACGTGGTTGAAGGGGAACAGTACTCATGCATCTTTCCAGAACTAGCAAAGAGGATGAGGGAAACTTGAGCATCACAAAGAACAGTGATCTCTCTAGCCTTTTTCATGATCCCAGTCCTTCTCTTGGAATATGTCACATGCCTGTTGCTTGGGTTTTCAATTCTCTTGATCTCAATCTTTCCTCTCCCCATCTCAACTCTATTCTATTCTATATTTTCCTCTTTTCCCTTGTGAAAATATCAAGAACTGAGGGTTTTCAAAAGTTGAGTATCAGAAATCAGAAATTAAATTAAAGCAACAGGAGCATACACTATTCAAAGGTAGAAGATAAAATACTTTTCTAGGTGGCAGAGCAAGGGAGGGTTTGTTTATGGGGTTTTGACAGTGCGAAACCAACTGTTTTCCTCTTTTTTTTTTCATTTATTGTCAGAGACTCTAAAAAAAAGCTTTTATGATTTCAAAACTAATTTTTTTTATTAATTTTAAAAGGTTAATTTCATATTAACTTATCCCATTCTAAAAAATAATTTTTTTATGTATTAACTTTAATATTAAAACTCTAAATCTAATTTATAATACAATGTTTACTTATAAATAAATTTAATTTCTAGATTCTGCTTCTTCTTTTTTTTTGACTGTGCGTATGTATGAAATGAAAAGAGCTTTGTTAGAGTTTGCTTCTCCTTGAAAACCAATGGTCTCTTCCATTTCTTTCCTCTACGTATTAAATGAAGGCTTAGGCTTTTAGGGTTTCATTGAAATGCGGAAATTTTGGACAGATTTTAGACTGTCCCTTGTTTTTTTCGAACAGCAAATTAAGATTTTAGATTGTCTTTTGTTTTGATGTGTTGGATGGTCTTAGGGTTTGAGTGATGGAACTAAACATGGGATAATATTCAAAATCTTAACCATCAAATCAAGATCAATGATGGGGTTTTTTTTTATTTTCTGAATAAATAATTTGAAGAAGGATCAAATGGGAAGGCAACAAAGAATTTCATGTGTCTCAACCTCTTTCCTTAAGGAATGAATGTGATTTTGAGAGTCCAAAAATTGTCAGATCATCAAACAGTGGGGAAGGGAAGCTATGGGGAATTAGGGTTTGGCTCCCTCTATGCTATTTTGTTTTACTGCTCGGACAAACTCTGTATTAGGAATTCATCTATTTGTGCTTTATACAACTCAAGGATCTTCTTTAGGGGGTGTTTATTTGTTAGAGGTCTTAAGTTTAGTGCAGTTTAAATTATAAAATATATTGAGAAGGATTTAAAGAAAAATGAACATTCAATTCTAATTGTAAATATCTAGTTAAGGGTGGAAATATAATTAAAAAAATGAATATTAATATTAATTTATATTATTAAAAAATTTAATAAAATTATATTTAAAAATTATATTATTTTAATAAAATTTATTAATTTCATCATAATTAATTATTAGGTAAAACCTATTATATTTTTTATTAATAATATATATCGATTATAAATTAATTAAGCTTTAATATAATTTTTAAATATTAAGAGATTGATACAAAAAGCGAAAACAATGCCTAAAATTAAAATATCTTGTATATAATTTTTTCATAAATAGTGCCATATAATTATAAATATTTAAAATTATAAAAAAAAAATTTTAAAGAAAACCAATAGGGTCTTTGTGTAATCCTTTTTCTACATTAGCCATACCTATTAAAAAAATTTTGGGTCATAGTATTTTAAGATGCAATAAAATTATTAACTATTTAAGTGATTCAATAATTATGTTTATTTACTGAAAATAAAAATATTTAAATTCAATTTACATAATATATAAAAAAAATAAAATAATTAATAAAAAATAATTATCTCTTATTATTATGTAATTAAAATATAAAAAAAATCTTATAAAGTTATCCAAAAAATAATTTTTAATTTTTGCAAGTTCCAGTCTCGTCATGTCAACACTTCAATTTTCTAGACAAAAGTCACAAAACCTAGAACTGGAACTTAA